ATATTGGAGGGAAATTTGAGCCAAGGCATGGTTGGCAACAGTAGAGCAGAAAAGGAGTGGGTAGCTTTCAGAGATTTTGGTGTACAGCACTGCATTTGCTCATCTGGGTCAGAACACTCGCAAACATCAAAACCAGTTTGAAAAAAAATGATGGGGAAATTCAGAAACTGCTACATGAAAAATGAGAACTCCACAGGGTTTACTAGCAGGATGGTTCATCCATCTCTAGGAAGGCAGCATTTGACTCTATCAAAAGTAAAGTACAAATGAAGCTTAGAGAAATGTAGGATTCTTGGCTCAGTAAAAAGGTGATGAAATTCAGTTTTACTCTGATAGTAACAATCCAAAGCATTTTTATGATGCCCTGAAGGCTATTTATGCATCTCAACTACTCAGTGCTGATAGAATCACATTGATTAGTGATAAGGACTTGATCCTGGAGAGATGGGCTGAACACTTTGTTCTCAACAGACCATCATCAGTCAATGCTGAAGCCATTGACTGTTTACCTCAGCTTAAAGTCAGTCTCTCTCTAGACTAATTTCTAACTGAAGAAGAGGTTTTGATTGCCAGTAGGCTCCTGTGACAAAGCACCTGTTGCTAATTCTATTGCAGCTGAGATTTACGAGGTGGGGGTCCATTGCTCATACAAAAGCTGATTGAAATTTTCCAGGTTATATGGCAAGAGGAGGTTGTCCCTTAGGAGTTCAAGGACACCACCACTGTCCATCTCCATAAATGTAAAGGAAAGAGATTGTCCTGTGACAATCACAGGGACCGGGGGGAGAGTGGGGAGAGTCTATCTCTCTCTTAGTCATTGCTGGCAAGATTCTTGCCAGAGTCCTCCTTAATAGACTGATCCTTTACCTGGAAGATGGCCATCTACCTGAGAGCCATTGTGGCTTCAGAAAGGGTCAAGGAATGGGTCGATATGTGTTTGCTGCCTGACAACTCCAGGAGAAATGTCAGGAGTAGAACAGAGGTCTGTACACAGTGTTTGTAGATTCGATCAAGGCCTTTGATACTATCAGTCGTGAGGGCATATGGAAAATTATGTCAAAATTTGATTGCCAGGAGAAGTTCATCAGTATTCTATGTCAGTTTCATGACAGCATGCTTGCCTGGGTTCTGGATAATGGACAATGCTCTGATGCTTTCCCAGTCTCCAATAGAGTGAAATGAGGCTCTGTGCTTGCCCCTTATGCTTTTTAGCATGTTTTCAGCTGTGTTGTCAGACACTGTCAATGAGGATGAACATGGCATCAAGGTCAGCTATTTAAATTATTTAACTTGAAAAGGTTACAAGCCAAGATTAAAGTGGAAGGAGTGTTGGTGTATGATTTTTTTTGTTTGTTGATGATTATGCACTCAGTGCAGCCTGTGAAGCTCAGATGCAACAAAATGTAGATCAATTCTCTGCTGCTTGTGCTAATTTTGGCCTGACAGTTAACTCCAAGAAAACACAAGTACTCTCCATCAACCAGCAGCACACCAGCCATATGTGCAACCATCAGTTACAACAAATGGAAAAGTTTTGAATACTGTGAATAAGTCAACTTACTTTGGTAGTGTGTTTTCCAGGGATGTACACATCAATAATGAGGTTGACTCATGCATCCATGCATTGCCAGAGTTAGCTCAGTGTTTAGGAGGCTCCAAAGGAAAGTGTTGGGGAGAAGAAGTATTAGATTGACTACCAGACTGAAGGTCTACAGAGCTGTGCTGACTTCATTGTTGTGTGCTTATGAAACCTGGACAGTTTACCAGCACCATGCCAGAAAACTGAACCACTTCTGCTTGAATTGTCTTAGGAAGATTCTGAAGAACACTTGGCAACATAAGGTATTAGACACTGAGGCCCTTTCTCAAACTAAACTGCCAAACATTCAAACTCTATTGCAGAGAGCGCTGGCCATGTTGTTTCAATGCCAAAGTGTATGCTTGCCTAAAGACTATTTTATGGAGAACTCACCCATGGCAAGTGCTCACATAGTGGTCAGAAGAAGCGATACAAGGACATTCAAGGTCTCTCTTAAGAACTTTGCAATTGATTGCATGACATGGGTGACACTGGCACAGGACTGCCCAGCATGGTGTGCCCTCATCAGAGAAAGTGCTGTGCTGTATGGGCAAAGCAGAATTGAAGTAGCTCAAAAGAAATGTAAGATGTGCAAATTTAGAGAATCCATCCCAAATGTTCATGTGGACTATTTGTGTCCGACCTATGGTAAAGCATGCCAAGCTTGTATTGGTCCGATCAGCCACAGTTGGACACATTACCTTGACCCTAGCATAGTGATGTCGTTTTGGTCTTTTTCAAGAATGAAGGACAACAACCAAACCCCAAATTCAATTTAACAACTATTTAACCTGGAGATGGTGGCCTCCTCTCTCCCTGTCCCCACCATAGGCTATCTATGAATTTTTTCAATTGGATTTTCATTTTCTATGTGAGAAGTTCTGGGCAAGTCTCTTCTATTATTTCCTTCATTATAGTGTTAAGGATTTTTTTTTACTGTCCTGTCCTGTCCTTCTGGGAGACCTAGGATCCTTATATTGTCTCTACACATCCTGTCTTCAAGATTAGTATGTTTTGCTTGCATAGTAAACATACTTTCTTTTAATGTAATTGGGTTGTTTTGTTTTTGTTTTTGTTTTTTTTTGCTAATCTTCTTCTAGATTGTCCTTCACTTCTGCATATTTTCATTCCCAATCTATGTTTCTTTCTTGTTTTTTGTTGAGGCTTGCCATTGTAGATTCCAGTTTTTCTATTTTGCCCATTATTTTTTTTGTGCAAGCCATAAATACTGTTCTCACAATTATCATTTCTCTTTCAAACCACTCAGGAACAGTGTGCTGTGGTTCCATCTTCTCACATTCCACAGGGTCCTCTGTGTAATCAGGAATTGGATCATTTTTCCTATTTTGCAGTATTTATTTCTAGATTCCCGAACTTGTTTAATAGATCTGGAGTTCATATATCTTTCCATTGTTACTGCTTTCCTTGTTATTTGCTTCTGTTGAAAGTCTTTGAGTTTTCTTTTTCTTGAAATTTTTGGTAATTTCAGTCTCTTCCCCCCGTCCCCATTTCTCCCTGTCACTCACTTTCTGACTGCCTTTCCTCTGATTATGGTTTCCTTGAGGGATAAATCACAAAGCATCCCAGGCTCCTCCCATGCTGGATAATTCACAGTTCACCACCCTAGGTCTCTGCCCTGGTGACTTTTGATAGACAGAACTGTCCCCAGCTGGATGCTGTGCTATTTTCCTCAGGCTTAGTGGAGTACAGTACAACTCTTTTATACACAGTGGTCTGTCCTGGTGTCCTATCCTATCTCCTCTGTTCCTTAGTTCTTTGGCCTAGCAGTTCTGAGCTTTGCAGCACTGGTACTATGAGGTTATCTATCCCAGGACTGGCTATACTGGTATTATGGAATTGTTTGCCTGGCACTGGCAGTTCAGAGCTTTTCAGTGCTGTTGCTATGGAGTTATGGCTTTTGACAGGCTTTATTTCTAAAAGGTTGTGGTAGAGCTGTCACTATCAGATTTCCACAATCTGGAGCCAGGGTCTTCATGGCATTGGAAAGAGGAAAGGGGGATCAGGACAAGGGGTTTGTTACATGCCCTGACCCATATGTTGAGTTCTTGGGTCTGCTAGTGCCTCCTCATTGCCTATGTCAGGGAGGTGGGGAAGGGATGCTGAGTTAACTCGAGGTTGGTGTCAGTTCATGGTATTTTGTTGTTGTTTTTAACTGTGTTTTGGATTATGGGTGTCCTAAACTATGAAGACAGCTGAAGTTGCTTTGTCTTTGGCACATAATTTCTGTTTTGGAGAGGTATGAGAGGTCATGGGGATCAGAGAAAGTCTGGTCTTCCATCTTGTTGTTCACATGACCTGGAACCTTAGGTCTTCTCCCTTTGTACTATTTCACTGGTGATCTCATCAGTCCCCATGGGTTTAATTATTATCTTTATGCTGATGATTTTCAAATCTACTTATCCAGCCCTATCCTCTCTGCTGATCTACCATTAACTGCCTTTTAGACATCTCGAACTGGATGTCCAAAATGCATCTCAAACTCAACGTGTCCAAAATTAACCTCATCTTTCCTCCTAAACCCTCTTGCCCCTCCACTAAACTTCCCTGTTATTGTTGAGGGAACCACCATCTTCTTAGTCCTTTAGATGCACAACTTAGTGTTATTCTCAAATCCTCACAATCTCTCACTCTACCTACCCCCATTTCCATTCTGTTTCCAAGGTCTATGGATTTCACCTTTGCAGCATCTCTTGAATATAGCTTCTTCTCCCTTCTGATAATGCCACCACACTGAGTAGGCCATCATTAACCCATGCTTGAGCTATTGTGAAAACTTGCTGGTGGGTCTTCCTGCCTCAAGTCTCTCCCTACTCTGATCCATCCTCCATTCAGTCATCAAAGTGATTTCACTAAAGTGCAGGTCTCCAGTGGCTCCCTATTGCCTCTGGGATCAAATACAAAATCCTTTATAACCTAGTTTCAACCTACTTTTCTGATTATTACCTGACAGGTGGGTATTCTTTGACCCAGTAACACTGACTTCTTTGCTGTTCCATGAACAAGTCAATTCATCTCTAGCAATACCCATCTCTAGGGCATTTTCTGTGGCTGTCCCCCATGCCTAGAATGTTCTCCTTCCTTTTTGCTACCACCTCCTGGCTTCCCTGGTATCTTTCAAATCTCAGTTTAAATCCCATATTCTACAGGAAGCCTTTTCTAACCCCTCTTAATTCTCTTACCTTCCCCCATTTAATTATTTTTTACTTATCTTATATATAGTTTGTTTGTACATATTTGTTGTTGTTTTCTGCATTAGATTGTGAGCTCCTTGAGGTCAAGAACTGGGTTGTTTTTTTTTTTTTATTTTTGTCTCCCCGGCACTTAGCATAGTGCCTGGCACAATTGATCTCTAATGGGTCTTTTGGTGCCCAAACACAGTAATTTCTCTTCCCAAACTGCATAGGTTTGCTCTTTGTGGAAATAATTTCTTTAATCTTTGAATACAAATGATGCCACACCAACAGAGACTTGGTTTGTAATTAAAAAAAAATTAACTCATTGAGACATATAGAAGGCCCCTAACCTGGTCCTGGGTCATTGGGAATATGAATACACATTAGGCAGCCAAACTTTCTATCCCTGAGTTGGAATACAATTCCTATTTTTCTACTAGACAAAGTAGTCCCAATCCCAGTGACTCAGTGAGGCAGAGGGATTAGATGTAATGGAAGGGGGTAATTATTTCTGGACTGTGTCTCAGACCACAAACAAGTGTCAGTGCATTTTAAGAAGACGAGAATGATGTCAACCTCCGACTGTCAAGAACCAGCATTTTCCTTTTGGACTCCTCGACTTTGCAGAGTACAAAAGTGAAGATGGGCCACTGTGAGGGCTGTTGATTTCCTGAGAGCAGCACAGTTATTGCATGGTGGAGGAGGGGATATGTGGAGGGAAGGAAAGTATCCGCCCAAGTGGCTTGAGCTCATGATGGGTTCCCCTCAATGCTTGATCCTCAGTCTTCATCTGTGTCATTCAGAAGTGCTTCATGAGTGTTGGAACCTGTTGTCAGCTTTTGAATCCCAATGCTTTCTCCACCTCTGGGTCTCTTCAACTGATTTACTACACTACAAGAGAGGATTCATGAGAAATATTAAATCACCAGAAAAATGAACTCTAGCTCCTACACCATAGGGAAAGGGGGGAGGGGAAGGAATAAGCATTTATTAAGCACCTACTAAGTGCCAGGCACTGTGCTAAGCACTTTACAAATATCTCCTTTGTTAAAGAGGCCTTGAGGAAATTAGGTAGGGCAGCAAAAAGAAACAGGGTGCCCACAGTCACTCCTTTCCACCTGTCTTTCTTGGGTCTAGAGCAACATCTTGGGTATATCTGTTCCACTGGGGAGATGAAAAGACAGATAAAAACCCTAAACATAAGGGTGATTATGATAGGGGCAAGGATATAAGAAACACACATATTTCCACCTGATAGACTTCTATGTCTGAATGACAAGGCTAGGGTAGGGATTAGGCCTGTAAAAAAGGACTTGGAAGGCAGCTGGTAGTAGGGTTCAGCATATTTCCTCTCATACATACCCACAAACCAGAGAGAAGTTGATAGCTACAATGATCACAGCAGCCACGTAGTGCCAGCAGAAACACATGGTGATAAACATGATGTTATCATGAGATGTTTGGTCCCAAACAGGACCCCCAGAAGGTGGATACAGCACAAAGCCAATCTGGGAGAATCACAAGGAGAAAGCCCTCATTACCAGCTCACCCTCAGGAACCCCTGGCAGACAAGGGCCATTCTTCAAATACCAATCACTTCTTTATCCTAAAACTGGCTTGAACCAAAACTTATTTAAAAGGAAATTCCAGGGTCACTTCCTTGGGCTGAATAATAATTTATTTGCAGCAAACAGAAAAGACCAATGTGTCCTTAATTATAGTTTTCATGGGCGAGGTAAACATATGATTGGGCAGCTATGTGGCTTGCCCAGGCTCTCACATGGCAGTATAGTAGTACCTGTGTAGGATTCAGGTGTATGGGGACCCAGGGGTAGGAGTAGTCTCCAGTTTACTAGTACTGATGAACATTTGCTGACAGGTCTGAGATTCCAGTTGCCATGACTCCCTTGGCCTTCTCCTACAATGCCTGTCCTTGACTTCCTTACCCACCATGGGGGCTCTCGTTCTCTTGTTCTGCCACAAGCTGAGAAGCATTCTCCTGTGGACTTACCTGCCAGAACCAGGTGCCGTGGGCAATAAGGAGGCTGGCTCGGAAGAGCTCTAGGACAATATTGTCCCTGATGAAAACTTCAATGAAGATGGAAATGGCTCCTGCCCCCACCGTATATAACAGGAGAAGGTGGATGTGCTGGTCCAATGGTGGCCGACCATGGACATGATAATAGAAGAGAATGCCTGACACAAACCAAATCACAACCACTAATGAGCTAGTTGTTTATTTCTTCATTCAAGCCTTCACTTGGGCTGCATCCCAATACTAGGATGCCCTTCTCACTCTGCTTTTCTTCAGGTGCCCACTCTTCCTCCTCTCCTGACACCATCCTGAGCCTGGCCTTCCCCAATTAATTCAACCCTCCATTCTAGTTATACTTCCTTTACTTGTAGGGCCCTTTAGCACTTCCTTGAACCATTTTAGTGAGCATTTTGCTTATTTATGGCTTTGTAGGTTTTATTAGGTCATTCCATGTGTTTGTGTTCTCCTAATAGATTATGTATAAACTCCCCAAGGGCAAGGGCCATTTCTTCTCTCTTTTTGAACCTGACCACTGAGAAGACTGAATTGATCCTGTATCATTTTGGTTTTGATCCTATTTACAAGTAGTTGTTTTGTCCTGTAACTACTTAAGTCATGGTTCTTTGTCTCTGAGCTTCAGAATTCAGCTGGCCTGTAAGTTTAAAAATCTAGCTCTCCTGCCTCAGGGAGCTTAACTGATGTGGGGAATGTGTGTGAACACAAAGGGAGTGTAATAGTTTTACACCACTAAGCAATCCTTCAAAGATATCTGGTTTGCTACCAAATGTCTAGCCTGCTGTCTCATACCTAGACTCAGACAATGATCACTTTTTAGTCTTATGAGAGAAGAAGTGGGGGTTGTTAGCCCCATTATCAAACTTCTAACCAATCATGTTGTTCCCTTTGCCTCAGCTCTGTAACCAATCATATCATAACCAATCTCATGATGTTGTCTACCGTGTTCTGGCTTTTGTTCTGTGCTCCCCAAAACCTATATAAGAGGAACTGTCCTTTTGCTCAGGGTCTTTGGTATAAATGGAGGCAATCTATTGACCCCATTATATTGGCCGGCAGCATGTCCCTGTTAATAAATGTTATCTTGCTCAGAGATTTGTCTTAGTTTACCCTTCTGTTAAGACTCAAATGTGACACCACAAGGCTTCACATAGGGTTCTGCACACACTGCTACTCTGCCCAGTACAGTCATGTTGTGGACAGACTTGTGGGCAACAGCATAACTTAAACTCAGGGACTCAGATTTGTTCTTTCTCAATCCCCTTTTACAGTCACCTCCTCCAGCAGTCTAGGGAGGAGTGATTTGGCCCAGAGGTCTGATGCAGGTACAGAATACTTCTGGCTCCTTTAGCTAATTTTCTCTTGTGCAAGAGAGGTCTTCTTCCTATGCTAGCAGTTGGGTGTTCAAGGACTTCTGTCTAATTTTAGAATGAAGTCAAGAACTCAAGGCTTCTTTCGCCTGACCAAAAAGACATGTCCTTGCCTCTGCTTTGGCCAAAAGCAAGAGGAGTAGGGTTTGAAAGGTCATGAGAGAACCTGGTTGTTCAATATCCCCTTCAAAAACATTAAAAGAAATGGTCTTATCCCTAAAGAACATGCCAATGGGATGCCCCCAAGAAGACATCTTCCTTTGCAAAGGAAAACTGTAGATAGGGTTGCTCTTTCCCAGTGAGTAATCAGCTTTGCTCAGTGACCTTTGAAGTGATCTGAACTTATTGCCTTTTTCTTTAAAAATTGGGGTAAGATGGGAGGAAAGTATTAGTGGCCCGACTCCCCAGAAATGATCTTTTTCTAGTCTGTGTTATGAAGTTCATCCTACTTGTTTAGGCCCTTTGTGGGTCTTGGAAATGGGATTTTCTCGTCAAGTATTTTGTGGGTGGAGCAGCTAGGGAGCACAGTGGATAAAGAAGACTCATCTTCCTGAGTTCAATTCTGGCCTCAGACACTTACTAGCTGTGTGACCCTGGGCAAGTTACTTAACCCTGTTTAAATCAGTTTCCTCATCTATAAAATGAGCTGGGGAAGGAAATGGCAAACCACTCTAGTATCTTTGCCAAGAAAACCCCAAATGAGGTCGCAAAGAGTTGGACATGACTCAAACGATGGAACAACAACAATTTTGTGAGTGAGCCACGTGGTCTGTTGTATTTTGTCCCTTTGGAGACCCACTTGGATAAGTATCTTTTGTTCCTTCCCTTCTCCCTCCTCCTACTTGCCTTCAGTGACTGCAGCCAAGGACAACAGAAGGCGGTCCAGCCCCAGAGGGATAACAGGGAAGAGAAAAGTGAGCATGTCCATGAGGCCAGAGAGCCCATAGAACAGATACATGGTGCTGTGCTGCCAGTTCATCAGTTTTATCCAATCGTGGTCATTGTACAGGTGCAAGTGAGGTCCATCTGGAACAAACTGCTCTGCAAGGATCCCTGGTAGGAAACAAAGAGGGGAATAAAGGGTAGAGGATGACCCTGTAGCTGGGGGATGGGGAGAAGGTGGCAGATTAGTGTGCTGCAGGAGACAGGGCCCTTATTTCTGTTGTCTGAGGAGCCACTGATGCCTACTCAGAGAGAAATGGAGCATTTATGTTGGTCTTCTGTGTGGGTACCCTGAAATTTTTGCTCTTTTCTCAGGGAGCAGCATGTAGCTGAAGTCCAACAAATATTCAGTAATGAAGGAAGGAAGGAAGGAACAAATGAATGAATGAGATCTGCCTAACAGTGGACTTACATGAATTCCTGAATGACATGAATTACTCCAGACAGCTAAGGAAGATGTTTTGTGACCTGCATGGCTAGTGTATGGGATCAATCAGACTCATGTGAGCCAGACTCAGCATGATCAAAGGTTTGTCACAGTCCCTGCCTCAGTTTCCCTCTCCAGAGTACTCATAGATCAAAAGTGACAAGTGATAGAGGACACCAACTAGAAACAAGCCATGGAGAGGCACTTTGCTTGACCCCTCAATACCACCCTATCAGGGATACTCTGAGGGAACACCTCATAACTGACTATAACAATAGATTCCTAATGGTATTTCCTGTATCCAATCTATCTCCCTTCTAATCTATCCTTCATGTTATTTGAGTAACCTTTCCATTGAACTACTTGGACCATATTATACCTCAGCTGAAAAAACATTCTCTCCCTGTTTGTATACCAAATTAAGTATAAGTTCATGATTTGGCTTCTATGATCCTCTTGAACAACTTGAATGAATCCAGCCTACCTTTATAAGCATTACCTCACACTATTTCCCCCAATGTTCCCTACTGTCCAGCTAAAGTAAATTACTGATCATCTCCTATTCTTGTCCTTTTCTCTCTTCTTTCAGTCATTCTGCTTATGCTGTCTCCAGTGCTTGGAATACACTCCCCCATTTCTGCCTGCCCAAATCCTTCCCTTCTTTGAAGGTTCAACTCAGATATCATAGCCCTTTCATGAAGTCTTCCCTATCCCCTCATCTAGAAGGGAGCTCTTCCTTCTCCAATTGCTCATTGTTCTTTATTTGAATCTCTCCTCTTTCATTGACCCCATTCTGTCACCGTTAGAATTGTATACAAATGTGTTGTATTCTTCCTTTCGTCCCATTACAGCATATGTTCCTTGAAGGCAAGAATTGCTCCTTGTTTGAAGCTTGTATTCCCAGTGTCTAGCAGTTGTCAAGACTTCTTGTTTCTACTTTTGCAACATCTCTCACATTTGTCCCCCTTCTCCCACTCATGCCTTATTCAGGTCCTTCTTACCCCTCCCTTGGATAATGGCAGCAGCCTGCCAGATGGACGTTTGGCTTCCAGGCTCTCCCTTCTTTAACTCTTCTACCAAAAGACTGCAAACGTTATCTTCCTAAGCATAAATCTGACCATGTCATTCCCCTCCTCAGTAACTTCAATGTCTCCCTATATTGCCTCTAGAAAGAAAATACAAACTTGTCAGCTTTGAATTTAAAGCTCTTCGCAAACTGGCTCCAGCCTCCCTTTCCAGACTTTTGCATTAATCCCTTTCATGAACTCACTATGTAAACTCCCTCCTCTGGGCCAGGCTGTTCCCCCACATCATGGATATGCCCCCTTCTCACCTCCACCTGTTAGAATCCTCAGTTTCTTTTAAGGTTCAGCTCATGGACCATCTCACCTTTTTGATCTCTACAGTTATTAGAGCTTTCTCCCTTCTCCAGTTATCATTATTTACTTATCTATGTGTTATATCCCCCCAAGTAGAATGTAAGCCCCTTGAGTACAGGCATGGCTTTTCATTCTGACTTGCTGTCTCCAGCATATAGCACAGAGCAGTAGATGGTTAATAAATGCTTTGTCGTACTGGATTCAGTTGTTGCCACTGTAGGTCTTCCCCAGACGATGGAGGAGAGGAACAACACTTGAACCAGTCTGGTGTCTTTGGGAAAGGGAAACTGTTCACAAACGGTTCTTTAATAGCTCCCATAGAATCCTTCTGTTGATTGTCCACTCATTACCCCACTGACCCTCCTGCCTCTCTTGCCTGGGATGTGGGAAGTGCTTAATGATATGGATGTTAGCCACTCAAAGTCCCAATCTTTTCAAGTGCATACTATGAGAAATAAGTGAAAGTAAAAGGTCGATTAGTCTAAAACTGACCCTAAATATCTTTCATTTAGAATCTTCTCAGCAGTCATTGACTCACTTTGCATAATTGCAATCCTGTATTTATTGCTTGATAAAAGTTCTTAAGTTCACTAATAAAATCTTGTAGACTCTAAACTCCCTTAGGGCAAAGACTATGTTCTTTTTCTTTGGTTTGTCCTAGCAGCTTAGTATACTGAGGCAGTGTCCTCATAGGATGTAAGCTCTTTGAGGGCAGGGAGTTTCATTTTTGTTTTGTATTCCTAAGTGCTTAGCAAAGTCTCTTGCACATTAGGAGATATTTCATAAATGTTTATTGGTTGAATGATTTATAAGTTTAAGATTTCATTTCATTGTAATGATTTCATTCATTTCATCTACAGGAGATGGTCAATAATTTCTGTAGTCTCAGCAGTGTGGGGAACTCTTATTGTATCCTTAGATCCTAGCACAATGTTTGATAAATTTATAGAATCATATATATAGGGTATCCCAAAAGTCTTAATTTAAAGCTTAAAACTTCATTAAGACTTTTGGGACACCTGCTACGTCACAGATCTAGAATGAGAAAGGGGCCTTAGAGTACATCTCCCTCATTTTATAGGTAAGGAAACTGAAGCTGAGGGAGGTTAAGTAAATTTCCCAAAGGCACACAGGTAGTAGCAAGTGACTTAGGTGGGATTTGAACTCAGGTTTGTTGATTCCAAATCTAGTACTCTTTCCACTGTCTCATGCTGCTTCCTATTTTGGATACTTAATAAAAACTTGATTGATTAATTGTGGAGATTCCTTTGATTAGTGCAGGTCAGCATCTTATCTACAACTTTTAGCTCTAAGACAGTTTCCTGGGTCACTGATAGGTTAAGAGCCTTGTGCAGGTGACCCAGCTAGTAAGAGTAAGAAATGGGACTTGAACTTAAATATCCTGTCTACAGTTCTGGCCTTCTATCCTATGTCACATTGCCTCTCATTGTATTATGTCCTACATTTTATGTGTTATAATTATAATAATTACAGTAGTCCACTTATGCCAGATGCTTTGAAGAACAAAGTATAATCCCTGACAGGTCCTTCCAACATGAGAAGACTTGTATTAGGAGCTGAATTAAATTCAATATAACAAGCCTTTATTAAGCGCTTGATATGTGCTGGGCACTGTGCTAGGTATTGGGAGTATACCACTGAATGACCGGCAGTTCCTATTTTCAGTGTTTCTTTTAATGGGAAGACATCGACTTTCTAGCCTTTTGGTGGAGTGAGAGGCAGGGAGTGTGTGTGTGTGTCTGTGTCTATAGCAACAGAAGGTCCTGGATATGGCAGGGAAATCCCAGGGGCTAAGTACCCTGTCTCTGCTTACCAACTATAGCAAAGAAGACTCTGACCCCTCCATCGATGATCTCAATCTTTCGGTAGTAGTAGTTCAGCTTTCTGCTTTTTCCTTTGTGACTTGTGTATCTGAGTGAGTATTTCAATGACCACCAAATCCCAATGATCAAGAAGAAACTCCCTGGGAGGGCATGGCCCTTGAAGTTTGCCATTATGGTGTCAAGGGACCTAAAAGATGAAGAGGAAGTTGTTAGGTAACTGAATGAGGGACAAATTTGAGATTCATTTTGATGGTAAGTAGAGAGTAATGAATACAGAGATGGATGGGTCCAAAGTCAAACCCAGTTAAGACTAATCAACCCAATTATGCTAAATACAGTCATTCTAAGGATTTGGCCAGTTTGGTACAGTCATGAGTCTTCAGTAAAGGACATTCAATAAATATTTTTTAAAGAATAAGGAAATATAGCACTGGGCATGAGGGCCTTAAAAATTGGGAAATATTTCTTATGAATCTTTAATTGGAAGCCTTTAAAAATGTTTTTAACCTAGGGGTGGGGGATGAGTACCAGGTATAGGAGAACTGGGTTACAATGAGGTGAAGGTCAGCAGGCTCAGGTATATAACCATATCACAGGCTCTGGACCTGCCACCATATAGAGTTTTACCCAACACCTCCAGCAGTTCTTTCCATCCAATCCCAGTTGATCTCATAGTAGTAAACATTGTGATTATGTGCAACAACCACACAAAAAACAAGAGGAGCATACTTAGAAATAGAACTGCCAGATAGAAGAGAGGAAACAGTTACATAACTACTTTCAGGAAGACTGGGCCTTTGATGATAAAACTAGACTATTACAAACAGTCACAATATCACAGAAGCTCAGAGTCTGAAAGGACCTAAGAAGCCATCCAGGCCAGCATGTACCTAAGCAAGAATCCCCTACTGCATAGGACCTGGCAGGTGGCCACACAGCCTTTCTGTAAAGATCTTCAGTCAGAGGAAACCCACTACCTCCAGAGGAAACCTTTTTTTTTTTTTAACTCAATAGTATTTTATTTTTTCCCCAATTACATGCCAAGATAGTTTTCAACATTCACTTTTGTAAGATTTTGAGTTCCAGATTTTTTTCTCCCCCCCTGCCCCTCCCCAAGGCAGCATGCAATCTGATATAGATTATACATGTACAATTATATTAAAGATATTTCCACATTAGTCATGTTGTGAAAGAAGAATCAGAACAAAAGGGAAAAAACCACAAGAAAGAAAAAACAAAACAAAAAAAGAGAACATAGTATGCGTCAATCTGCATTCAGACTCCCCAGTTCTTTCTCTGGATGTGGATAGCATTTTCCATCATGAGTCCCCTTGAAGAAATTATCTTAGATCATTGCATTGCTGAGAAGAGCTAAATCTATCAAAGTTGGTCATTGCACAATGTTGCTGCTACTGTGTACAATGTTCTCCTGGTTCTGCTCACTTCACTCAGCATCAGTTCATATAAGTCTTTCCAGGTTTTTCTGAAGTCCTCCTGCTCATCATTTCTTATAGAACAATAATATTCCATTATATTCATATACCACAACTTGTTCATCCATTCCCCAGTTGATGGTCATTCCCTCAGTTTCCAATCCTTTGCCACCACAAAAAGAACTGCTATAAATATTTTTGTACATGTGGGTCCTTTTCCCTTTTTAATGATCTCTTTGGGAAACAGACCTAGAAGTGCTATTTCTGGATCAAAGGGTATACACATTTTTATAGCCCTTTGGGCATAGTTCCAAATTGCTGTCCAGACTGGTTAGATCACTTCACAACTCCACCAACAATGCACTAGTGTTTCAATTTTCCCACATCTTCTCTAACATTTATCATTTTCCTTTTTTGTCATACTAGCCAATCTGATAGGTGTGAGGTGGTACCTCAGAGTCATTTTAATTTACATTTCTCTAATCAATAGTAATTTAGAGCATTTTTTCATATGACTATAGATAGCTTTGATTTCTTTGTCTGAAAACTGCCTGTTCATATCCTTTGACCATTTATCAATTGGGGAATGACTTGTATTCTTATAAATTTGACTCAGTTCTCTATATATTTTAGAAATAAGGCCTTTATCAGAGACTCTGGCTGTAAAAATTGTTTCCCAGCTTTCTGCTTCCCTTCTAATTTGGTTGCATTGGCTTTGTGCAAAAACTTTTTAGTTTAATATAATCAAAATTATCCATTTTGCATTTCATAATGTTCTCTATCCCTTGCATGGTCATAAAATCCTCCCTTCTCTATAGATCTGACGGGTAAACAATTCCTTGCTCTCCTAATTTGCTTATGGTATCACTCTTTTGGTCTAAATCATGTACCCATTTTGACCTTATTTTGATATACAGTGTAAGATGTTGGTCTATGCCTACTTTCTTTCATACTATGTTCTAGTCAACCCAGCAGTTTTTGCCAAATAGTAAGTTCTTATCCCAGAAGTTGGAGTCTTTGGGTTTATCAAACAGTAGATTACTATAGTCATTGACTACTATGTCTTAACCTATTCCACTGATCCACTGCTCTATTCTTTAGCCAGTCCTCTGAGGACAAGGGACCAGTTTGTGAAGCACTTAGAATATCAAATAGAGGAGTTTATTTTTTATTACATTGATGATAAAGAGCCATTGGAGTTTATTGTGTAGAGGACTTACATTGTCAGATGTGTGTTTTAGGAAAATCACTTTTGGAGTCATGTGGAGGATGGATTAGAGTGGGGAAGGCCTTGAAGAAGAGAGGTCAATTAGAAGTTTATTGCCATAATTCAGGAAGGGGTGATGAAAGCCTACATTAGGGTAATGGTTAGAGGGGAACAGATGTGAGATGACATAAAGGCCTAACAGGTTTTGCAGGGTTTGATCCTGGTAATTACTTCCTCCTTCTGTATAGTGCTGGAGGAGACAGGAGGTGATGAGCTCAAAGAGGGGTTGGCCTTGGTTTTGGGAAGGACATCTTCAGCAGAGACTAAAGGACAAAAGAACGTGAGATGATGTCAAGAGGTTGGGAGATGTAAGGAAGGAAAAAGAGGAAACTTACAGAGAATGGTCTGGTTTTTTCTGTGAGGTTGAGGTCCTCAACTGAGGAGAGTGTGAGAGTGTGTGGTGTGGTATGTGGTGAAGAGAAAAAAGAAACCACCATGGGAATTGGGATACAGAATCGATTAGGGAGGAGTAAAAGGATTGCCTTGCTAAGGTTAGGGCCCAGTTGAGTTCAGATAATTTATAGTGGATCTAGTCAGTATGGTTGCACGACCTCTTCTAGGATATAGGGTTTTTTTTTTCTCCTAATATAGTTAAAATTTTTTTGTTGTTGTTCTCAGTTTTGCTTCCTGAACTCAGCTCATTCCAAACTTTATTACCCCTGGCACTGATCTTACAGGATTATGCCAAGATTGGTAATTATCCTTTTTTTTTTTTTACTTATACTTGGCTTTCATCTGTATGTATCTTGTGGAAATCTAATCTTGTAGAAATCTACACCATGCACTAAAATAAATTCAAAATAGATGCATAGCTTGACAGTTTGACAGGTGACACTATTAAAAAAGTAGAAGAGAATGAGATAAAGTATTTTTAAAAACTATGGCTAAGGAGAACTCTTAACCAAACAAGGATAGAGGAGATCACAAAAGATAATATGTTTTAAGTATGTAAATTTAAAAAACTTATATACATAATCAATGCAAATGGGATAAGAAGGGAAATAGTCTGTTGAGAAAAAATCTCTAAGAGTCTAGTATGTAAGTATATATATGTATATATACATATATATATGACTTTGATATAAAACATCATACCATAAATACATTACAGGTAAAGGAAATGTGATACCTTTTTAAGTGTAGAACGGGGAACAGTTCCTAACTAAACAAGAATTAGAAATGACCATAGACAACAAAATAGACAATTTGATTATATACAGTTTCACAAGTTTTTGCACTAGTAGGATCAATGCAATTAGAATTAGATGGGAAAAAAATGAACTGGGAAAAAGCTGTTGTAGCCAATTTATGATATAAAAATCTGATCTTCAAGATACACAGGAAATTGATACAAATATGTAAGAACAAGAGACGTTCCCTAATAGATAACTAGTCAAAGTATACAAAGAAGCAGATTCAAGGAAAGAAATATAAGCTATCAATAAGTATATGTGTTCATGATACACCAAAAATATGTGGTATGAAAATAAATTAAATAACCTCTACACATGGGATGATTAGGATTTGCTGGCAAAATGCTTCAACATTTCTCTGTGCTTATGTATGAGCACAGCTTCTAGTAAAGCTGGGAAGGTCTTCACAACTACTTCAGCCCAGGCTATTTTCAGTGGATTACATCCCATTTTCAGGTACTTTGGAAGCAAGGAGAATGAGGTTGCTTCAGCTTTGGCCCTAATCCATGTAATTAATCAGGAAACAATTCGATCACAGATTTATTCCACTGCCATGCAAAAATGACTTACATTAATTTTTTGTTGTTCATATCTCCCAAGATTCTTGCCTAAAGCAACCCTTGCTGTCTCTCAGATGTCCATTTTCAATAAATTGCTAGAGATGCATGTTGGTGTTGGGGATTATATCCTAGGGAAAAGAATATTTTTTTGCCCCATTCCTGAGTTGTCAACCCTGCATTTATTTGGTTGTACTTAAAATGGCATTAGACAGGGTTCCTGTACTCTTAGCCTACGGGTCCTGGATGATAGTGATTTATCCAGCCTGCTTTGGAGAGGGTCTGTTCATCTATCCAACCCACAATCACAGCCTGCTTCTATTTGGTCAGGGCTTTCAGGAGAGAAATTGGAGGCTTCCCATCCCATATCTTAGCTCTCTTACTGGCGTTTGCCTGCCTGGAATCATGTTTCTCATCCTGGTTGTTGACAGTGCCTTACCCACAGCAGCTTCTCAATGAAATGTGATGATCTCCCGCTTTTAGAACAGCAGTTAACCCTGGGACAATATTGGCCTGGAGAAGGATTTGTTTGGTGCCAAATTGAAGGCAAAACTCAAAGCAAATAAAAGTTTTCTGAGACTGAAGGAAACAGATTCAAACAATGTTGAAGCACCAGAGATGGAGACATCCTCATAGGATTCTTCCTCATACTATCTGTTCTCATACTATCCCAGTTCCCATCTTCCTAAAATCAATTTCTCTCTCTCCACAGCCTACTCAGATTGAGAAACTTTAAC